TAGACATGGTGACATACAGGAATATTTGCAAAGATGTGTGTACATAAAGGTATCAGTACATACACACACACATTTCCTTGCTATGTCAGCTGACAGGGTCTAGAAGTAATGACACTCTGATAGCAATGAGACATCTAGCACTAGATCTTGATTTCTAATATCATTCTCCAATAAAAGGAGACTGGAGAAATAGCTGATTTTAGGACTGGGGCAGGAAATATACAAGATAAGAGTTGAGCAACCTGTAGTGCTAAAAAGTAAAAAAAACAAAAACGAGAAATTTCCGCAATGATGGGTGAATGTCGAAAGAACACAAGAGCTAACTGAAAGAGCTCCCAATGGTGAAAGCTGAACAATTTGAGTAATAAAATAATATTGGATTACAAGCCAAAGTATAAAATAAATATCTGAGTCCATATTGATATAAACAAATGACTGAATAAATAAATAAATGAGGAAGATTAACTCCCCATTCTTTAAATATGGACTACATATGGAGACTATCTTCCAAAGAATACAGTATAGAAAGAGGGCAAAAGTTTACAGTAGAGAAATCTGGCAAACGCTATTTCAGCCAAGTGATCAAGATCAACATCAACAGTGAAAAATCATGTTCATAATATGTACCCTTGCTATGATGTGATGAGAATGGTGCTTTACCTCCAGGGTGTTCCTCCCCAAAACCCATAATCCCAGTCTACTCATGAGGAAAACATCAGACAAATCCCAATTTAGGGGTATTTACAAAATATATGACTAGTACTCCTTAAAACTGTCAAAGTCAACAAAAACCAGAAAAATTGAAAAATTATCACAGCCAAGAGGAGCCTAAGGAGACTAATTACTAAATGTAATGGGGGATCCTACATGGGATCCCAAAATAAAAAAAGGACATTAAGTAAAAGCTAAAGAGATCCAAATAAAGATTAGATTTTGGTTAATAATATGTCAATATTGGTCCATTATTTGTGAAAATGTACCATCTTACTAGTGTAAGATGTTATAATAGGGGAGACAGGGTGTTAAGTATATGGGAACTCTCTGTACTATCTTCTCAATTTTTCTGTAAATCTAAAACTACCATAAAATAAAAGTTTACTTTAAAAACTGTGAAGACCTTAATACTTTTTTCCTAATTCTGTTGAAATTGTTGACCAATATAATTTAATTGATTTTTAAGATGTATTCAGGGGCTAGCCGGTTAGCTCAGTTGGTTAGAGCTCAGGGTTATAACACCAAGGTCAAGGGTTTCCCTGTACCGGCCAGCTGCCAAAAAAAATAAAATAATAATAAGAAGAAGATGTATTCATTCAACACATACTTGTTGAGCACCTGCTACATACCAAGTACTATCCTGGGCACTAGTGATAAAGTAAGCCAACAAAACAAAGTTTCCATCCTCACACAGCTTACACTTTAGCAGGAGGAGAAAGAGTAAAATAAACAAATAGCAAGTGAGGGGAAATGCAGTACAAGAAATGATCTGAGAAGCAGGAAGAGACTAATACACAGAATAGTCCAAAATAAGGAATTTATATTTTACTCTAGGTATAGTAGGATGCCACTAAAGGATTTTCAGCAAAAGAGTTACATGAACAAATTTATGTTATGTTTAAAAAATCACCTTGATACTTACAGCAGCTTTATTCATAATTGCCAAAAAGTGGGCTGGCCAGTTAGCTCAGCTGGTTAGAGCGTAGCCTTATAACACTAAGGTCATGGGTTCAGATCCCTGTACTGGCCAGCTGCCAAAAACAAAACAAAAAAAACAGTTTGGGACACAAATGCCAAAAAGTGGAAACAACTTAAATAAACAGGTGAATGGATACAAAAATTATACTCTACCCATCACTGAAATACTACTTGGCAATAAAAAGGAATAGACTAACTGGTATGTTCAACATTAATGAACCTCAAAAGCACCAGGCTAAGTGAAGGAATCCAGACTCAAAAGGTTACACACTGTATGATTCCATTTGTTATAGAAATCACATCAGGGGCCGGCCCGGTGGCGCACTGGAGAGTGCGTCAATTGGGAGTGCGGCGGTGCTCCCGCTGAGGGTTAGGATCCCATGTGGAGACCGGTTCCCGCTCACTGGCTGAGCGCGGTGCGGGCGCAACACCAAGGGTTGCGATCCCATTGCTGGTCCCCAGTATGGGCGCGACACCAAGGGTTGCGATCCCGTTACCGGTCAGTAAAAAAGACAAAAAGGAAAAAAAAAAAAAAAGAAATCACATCAGCAGTTGCCAGGAGTAAGAGACTAAGTAAGGGAGTAAGGGACGGCACAGGGGAACCAGGGAATTATTTTGAGTGATAGAAATGTTCTACATCTTCATTGTGGTGGCAGTCACATGACTATATACATTTGTCAAAACTCAGCAAACTGTACACTTAAAAGGGTGAATTTTATTATACATTAATTATACCTCAATAAACCAGGATTTTTAAAAAAATCACTCTGGCTGTGTGGAGGATGAATTGGAAGGGAGCAAGAAACTAGATGCAGGGAGCATTGTCTCAGAGTACATTCAGCTACTTAGGACATACTGAGTTTGAGATATCTCACAGATCCTGAGGAGGAGACATTAAGTAGGCAGCTGCAATGAGTCTGCAGTTCCTACCTTCATCACAACAGTCATATGTTAGAGCATTTTTGCACATACTGGTGATGAGTTAGAGACTTGTAACTACATATTCCACCTTCTTATCTTTCCTTGAGAGTGGAAGCTAATCTCCACTCTTCTCAGTACTCTGAACTGCACTTTCCAATACCATAGACACTAGCCAAAAGTGGCTATCTAAATGGCAGTTAACTAAAATTTAATTAAATTAAAAATACAATATCTCAGTCACACTAGCCCCATTTCCATCATCACTGAAAACTATACAGGATGGTGTTGCTCTAGAAGATTACTTATAAGTTTTCTTTTCTTTTTTTTTTTTTTTTTTTTAAAAGATGACCGGTAAGGGGATCTTAACCCTTGACTTGGTGTTGTCAGCACCACGCTCACCTAGT